GTGAGAGAGAGTGACAGAGAGAAAGATCTTTGCCGTTGGTTCACCCTCCAATGGCCGCCACGGCTGGCGCGCTGCGGCCGGCGCACCGCGCTGATCCGATGGCAGGAGCCAGGTACTTATCCTGGTCTCCCATGGGGTGCAGGGCCCAAGCACTTGGGCCATCCTCCACTGCACTCCCGGGCCACAGCAGAGAGCTGGCCTGGAAGAGGGGCAACCGGGACAGAATCCAGCACCCCGACTGGGACTAGAACCTGGTGTGCCGGCGCCGCAAGGCGGAGGATTAGCCTAGTGAGCCGTGGCGCCGGCCCTCCACAAAACTCTTAGTCATCAGTTACTGGCTTAGAAAGCTGGGGAGTCAGGAATGATGAGCAAGCTGCAGTCCTTCAGTAATTACAAAACAAAGCAGAGCAAACAAGCAAAAACCAAAAACAAGCAAACAAAAAATAAGGAAATGGACCAGCATTTGGCGTACTGTTGAGACACTACTTGGGACACACACAATCCATATCTGAGTGCTTGGGTTCAAGTCCCAGCTCCACTCCCTATTCTAGCTTCCTGTAAGTACACACCTTGGGAAGCAGGGAACAGTTCAAGTACTTGGTCCCTGTCACCCATGTGGGAGACCTGCCTGGAGTTTTCAACTCCTGCCCCAGCCCTGTCTATTGTTTGCATTTGTGGGGTGAACCAGCAGATGGGAGGTCTCTGTTTATCTCTGTCTCTGTCTTTGAAATAACATGAAAACTAAATAAGAAACTACAACAAGGACAAAAAAAAAAAAAAAAACAACAAACCATCTCATAAGGGCTTTCGAGAGAAAATTCTCAAAAGGTAGATTTTTCTATTTAGACACCTTCACTCTAAACATAATCCTCTTAAACATTTCTTCACTGGAAATAACCTTCCAGGGAACATTTTCTAAATATAATTTAAGAAATCAATTAATTTCAATCAATGTGGCCTAATTAAATCTAGGTGAGCTTTAAGCTATAGCATCCAATATTGCTTACAACAATTTTTGTAGTGTTCGTTGCTGGTAGACTTCATTTGTGCAGTATTTCACGTATGGGTCAAACGTGGAAGCCGTGTGTTTTTCCACAATGTCGCTTATATCATCTATGAAGATATTATTCTGGTGTCTTGCTTCCAACTCTGTAAAGAATCTGAAGAAAAAAAAAACACCAAAGGAATGGAAAGCATTTACACTTCTTCCCTATCCTCAATACACAACAGTTTATTCTCATGTAATACTATCATACAGGGTCTGAAAGTATCAACTGTGCAGAGTAACAACTTGAAAAGATCCAAAAGCCACAGACATTTGGCCAAGTGGTTAAGCCATGGGTTGGCCTGCAAGGCCTATCAGAGTGCCTAGGTGTGAATCCCAGCTCTGTCTTGATTCCAGCTTCCTGCTGGTATATAATCTGGGAAGCACCAGTGATGGTTCCTTCTACACCCATGGTTTGGTATTGCCAGGGTCATAGCAGGAATTTGGGAAGTAAACTAATGGATGAAAACACTCTTCCTCTGATACCCTCCCTACCACCCTCCCTCAAATAAACTTATTTATTAAAATCCTCTTTAAAAATAAAAAATTGAAAACTTTGTCCAAATTTAAATCTACCACATTAACCCTTTAACATATTCAAGTATTTGGATTAAAACATTGATAACCTGGGGCTGGTGCTCTGGTGTAGTGGGTTAAGCTGCAGCCCACAGTGCCAGCATCCCATATGGGTGCCAGTTCAAGTCCTTGCTGCTCCACTTCTGATCCAGCTCCCTACTAGTGTGCCTGGGAGAGCAGTGGAAAAAGGGCTAAGGCACTGGGATGCTGCACCTAGGTGTGAGACCCGGGAGAAGCTCCTGGCCCTTGGCTTCAACCTGGCATAGCCCTGGCCATTGTAGCCATTTAAAGAATGAACCAGCAGATGGAATATCTCTTAAAGAAATTGATAACCCTGGGCATTTCTCTGCCTTCAAGGACATTTTAGAATGTGCAAATTTCTTTGTTTTTCTATAAGCCCCTAGATGGAAGGGGGAGGAAGGTCACATTTATACATTTTATTGTATTGAAAAGAACATGAGTCCCTACCTTACACCTTACACAAAAATCCACATTAAATGAATCAAAGACCTAATTCTATGACCTGATACCATCAAATTACTAGAGAACATTGGGGAAACTCTGCAAAACATTGGTCTATGCAAAGACTTTTTGGAAAAGACCCAGAAGCATGGGCAATCAAAGCCAAAATTGACAAATGGGATCACAACAAGCTGAGAAGCTTCTGCACTGCAAAGGAAGCACTCAGCCAAGTGAAAGAATGGGAGAAAATATTTGCAAACTATGCAACTGATAAAGGTTAACATCTAATATCTATCAAGTTCAAGCTATTCAACAACAACAAAACAAACAATCCAGTTAAGAAATAGGGAAAGCACTTGAACAGGCATTTTTCAAGAGAGGAAATTCAAATGACCAACAGACACTTGACTATACATGACAGTTGTATAACTAAAATAAAATTTTTAAAAATGAAATAAAAAAGAAAAAAATTTAAAAAAGAAAAGCACATGAGCCAAACCCTAATATAAAACAAATCTGAGATGAATCTAATTCTATGTGCTCTTTCTTTCAAAACAAAAACGGTCACAGTATTTTAATTGTAATAATATGCATTGTCTTAATGTATTTTAGATGAACATTTAGAGTTACCACATTTAGTATACATGGAGTGCTCAGTTGAGTGATCCATGGGAGGCAGGCACTCAACTACAATTTAGGCTTGCCAAATTAGTGTTGTGTGTATATGTCTCTATACACACAAGCATACATATACATACATGCATATAACGTGATACATAAAAGGTCTTTCAAAGGTTCATGGAAAATGAGTATTATGAAAAAACTGCAGAGATTTCAAGGTTTTTTGTACTAAAATAAACATATCTTTTAATTATATTTTTCCATGAACTTTTTGAAGTTCTCTCCCATATTTATATATATATATATAGAGAGAGAGAGAGAGAGAGAGAGATTGTTTATTATTTATGCATTCATCTGTTTGTTAATAGACACACTGGAGTTTCTTTTTGCCACCATGAATAATGCTGCATTTAACGTTCACATACAAATATCCAAGTCTCTGTTTTCAAATCTGTGGGTATATAACTAGAGGTGAACTCCATCCCAATAGGAGTACATATATTAAGAAATAAAAGCATAATACCAAGAACCAGTAGGAGATGCTGAGTTAACTGCCAAAGAGAGGCTATTAATTCACTAAATGGAAGTTGATCAGGAAATGATCCTTCCCCTCTCCCTACTCACAGTTGAGTGATCAGCTGAGTGATCAATGGGAGGCATGGGGCCAATTACAATACAGCATCTGTAAGAGGGGTGTGGTGTAGTGAAAACCAAGTATTTGGTCTTCATTCCTGGTTTTTGGAGCACAGCTCCTAAACCCGTGGAATCTCCAGAGTGATAGGGCTATGGAGATGGTGACTGGGAGCTCCTGGTAGATTCAACATGAGGGCAGGTCAGCAGAAACACCAGGCCATGATTACAGAGTTGGATTTTTCAGCTCCCAAACCCCATCTCCAGGGAGGGAAAAGGGATGGCCATTGAGCTCAGTCTTCAAGAACCAGCGCTTCACTGAATCCTGCCCTTCAATGAAACCTCTTAACTATGGGGCTCAGTGGGGGCTGGTGAATATTAAGATGCTGGGAGAAAAATGGCCCAAGGCTAGTACGGCTACCCTCACCACCTAGTTTGACTTATGCATCTCTTACATTTGCCTGTTCCTAAGTTGTATCCTTTGTAATAAACCAGTAATAGTACTCTGTGAGCTATTCTAGCAGAACCTGTGAGCTTGAAAAGGGTGGACTGTGGAAACTCTGACTTCACAGCCAATGAAGACAGAGGCATGGGTAACCTGGGGCCCTAAAACCTGAAATCAGCATCTGAAATGGGGCAGTCTTGTAAGACTGAGCCCTCAAGACTTTTGGAGTCTGATGCTGAATCCCGGCAGTTAGTGTCAGAATTGAACTGAATTGGAGGAAACTGAGTTGCTATCTGTAGAGTTGGCGAGCTGTTCGGTGAGAAAAACCTCACATCTACAGTTCCAGCAGTTTGCTAAGTAAAAATAATTGAAGATGTGGGTAATGACAACTCCAGAAGGTTTGACGAACAAGGGGAGGTTACACGTGAGCTGGATTCTCAAGGCCATCAGCAGAGCACCATGTGATGTAGGCCAAAGAACCAACATGAACACAAATGTGGCTCTTGTCCAGAAAACCTGGTAGTTTAGTGAGGTTGCAGGAAGAGAAGGGTGAGACAACAAAAACTGGAAAGCAGGTTACAGCTAGATTGCAAGGGTCTTACTATATATTGGGGCATTTGGGCTTAATGTGTAGCAATGAAAAACCACCAAATGTGTGGAAACCAATTGATCAGGACAGAGGAAGGATGGATTGCCAAGTGGGGGAGGCAGACAACAAGTAGGCCAGTCACATGACTAATCCAGGCAAGTGGCAATAAAAGCCTGGCAGAGGGAAATCAACAAGGCAGGACACAGGTTAGGATAACAATATAGAGATTAAAATTAATAAACTCAAGAAACTCACTAGGTACAAGGTCAAGGCAGATGCTGGGCTTTTGGGTCAAGGTTTCCACCCAGGCAACAGATGTGTTATTAAACCATTACTGATGACAAGGATTTCAGAGCAAGAAGGAGACGCAGGAAGGAAGAAACAGCTTACTTTTGCCTTGGAGATGTCTAATGGAAGCTGAAAATACACATCTGTGAGAATTCAGAGGAACTGGAATTCCATGTATTACACAAATAAAGTCAGCATGAGTACAGAGTTAACTGGTTTTTATATAAATGCAAAATATGCCTGCTTCATATTACAAATCTTAAGGAAGTATTCAAAGAAAAAATTTAAAAAACATCCATTAGGTCATTATCACATGATTCTATGCAATAAGTCTGTCTCTTTTAAAAAATATGGAATGCTTCACAAATTTGCATGTCACCCTTGTGCAGGGGCCATGCTAATCTCTGCACTGTTCCATTTTAATATATGTGCTGCCAAGGTGAGCACAGAAATAAGTATCTTGAGGCACATATCTCTTACTGTTTCTTGTCTTTAGCTAACTGCTAACAGCCTGAAAGAATGCAACTACATAACCAAAAACAACAGTAACTTGGCTTTTTCCAATGAAAGGGAAAATTTCATTTATCACCATAGAAGGTTTGCCAAAGTAGAAGATTAAAAGCAAAGTATTAATGAATCCATCCATTTGTGCTACTTTACTATAACATACATAAAGTCACCTATCTTTAATTTTGACACTGCATAATTAAGACATAATTTACAGCTTTCTATGTTACATTAACTATTGAGTATTTTGGCAAATTTGTATACTTCACTAAATGAGCAGAGCTTCAAAAAGACCAAGAAAGTATTTCAGAAGAATGAGTTATTATTTTAGGAACCAAGTACGCTGATGATTCAAATCAAATCTGAAGCAAAAGTAAAAGCATGCTGGTTTCCTGGATGAAATTTGAATGAGTTTATGCAATAGTTTGGTGGAAAACTTTTTAATGGAAATATGTATTTCAGCTCTACAAATCTGCTTCTGGAACAATGGGTTCATTATTTCCTCTTTGTAGCACTACCAAGATGATCATGCTTTATGACCAGTCATGCCACAAAACCTTTCTTCTCCTTCTCCTTTCTTTCTCCGTCTTTCATTTTCCTTCTTCTTTCTATCCCCACCCACCCTCCTTCTCTTCCTCTCCTTTCCTCTCTCCCTCTATCTCCCTTCCAAAATTTCAGTCTCCTTCCTGTACTTTGAGACCTCCTGAAGGCCAGAAAAGGTTGCAAAGAGACACTCCTTCCTAAACCAGAAAACCAAGGTAACCCCATTGAGTGTTTACACCCCATCAGCAGTGTAATCACATCCATCCTTCGAATGAGCGCAGCCTGGCCACGTGACCAGCTGCACACTGAGCACTCTGACCAGCTAGGACAGAGTCAGTCCCCTGGGAGGCCAGCTCTGGGGGGTGGGACTTCAAGATGATTCAACTAAAGTTGTCCTATTTGAAAGAAGAACCTGATGCAGAGTTTGCATGTAGAAACCTTTCCTCTACCATCTCCTAAAGCTGAAGGCATTACACATTCTAGAGGCTTTCGTAGCTGCTTAGCAACTTAAATGTGGCATTCCATTTTTGAAGGTAAAACAAAATAGACAGTGAGGTCGCTAGCTGCTTCTAAGATGCTTCTCTGCTTTGCTAGCTTCTCCTTTGCCTTTGTGTAACAGAAAAGACTTACAAATGAATCAAAGACCCCCATATTATTATTGACAGCCTTCTTAAAATTCAGCCAGGAATGTAACTGGCATATCAGATGTGGGCATTCCTGATAGCTTTTGGGAAGTCTGTCCAGTAAGCTCATCAATCTACAGAGGATATTTAAATTTCTCAAACACAAACCATACATCTGATTTAATCAGTCAACCAACAAAATCTCTTTTGTGTGTGCAGCACTGAGCAACGGGCTATGGTGGATGCCAAGGTACAAACAACTGATAACCATGAACACCATTCACTGGGCCAGGTCTAGGGCTACATGCTTCCTATATACTGCCTCAATTCATTTAATTCTCAAGCCTGCTTTATGAGATGGCCATTGCACCCATTTTACAGATAAGAAAATCAAAGCTAAGAATACTTAAGTCAACTCACCTGTGCCAGAACCTGCACTCCTATCACTACACCTGCTGCTTCTGTTCAGGTGCAAGCTGCTCTTGCTATTACTGCTGGGCAGCCCTCAATAATGGACATCCAGCAAGAAGAACCACAGCAGGAACTAAGAGAAATATGTTGCTTTCTAAGAAGACCACCTGTTAAATCATCTCAGCAAGTAAACTACACAAACTGTGAAGACCTTCACAGGAGATTTATTCCAGGTCAAGATGTGCAGAACAACAGAACAATCAGCAACCACACCAGCTGCAGCCTCTAGGAAAGTATGCAAGAGGCGCATAGCCTGCCACATGCTTTGGTCCATGTCCACTTAGCACAGTCCCACACTGCGTTTGCAGTGCTCTGTAAAAACCCTCTCTCGAAGTGATCCATTTTGGGACTCCTTGTGCCCTTCCTGCTGCTCTCCTCTTTTCCTAATGGACCCCAACCAGTGTTTAAACTTCAGATTAAATTTCACCACCTCCAGGGAGCTTTCTCTGACCCTACCAGCTCCCTTGTTTCCTTTGTTTTAAGTCTCTGCAAACCCCTTCATTGTTCCTTTAATGGACCTACTATGAGTGTAACTAATTATTTCATGATTGATGTTGACTGCTGTCTCTTAGCAAGGTTCAAGGACAGGAGCCATGCCTATGGTGTGACCACTCTATACCCAGGACCTGGCCATAATGCTTGAACATAATGCTTGAAAGGAGACAAGCAAATAATTGGCAAATGAACACATGGATGATTATATCAAATTTGTTCTTTTAAATGGAAAGTTATAAAGGTATAATCTGTTCAAGAAATTCTGTCCTATTGTTATTTCACCAGGAATGTAACACCTACAAATCGGTCAGCCTCTACCTTGCTTTTCTCACTAGTAAATCAAACCAATATGTATTTGTTGACCATAAGATGAGTTTCCAGAGTTGTGCTCAGTACAGTGAGGGCCACCAATGAAGACAGAACTTCCAGCACAGGCTTTTACAGTCCTGGCAGGCAGGGTCAGGAACAAGAGACCCAGTCCAGCCAGTTTCTTCAACACCTGCTGTACTTTTTGAAAAATGTGCTAGACCAGTCTCAATTCAGAGAAAATTCCAGTAAAGCTAAGAAGCTCAGCATTTAGTATTCTAGCTCTGGAAACACAAAGAGCAGCACTCCGGTTCTATCAGTGCTGTCCTGTGCCCTGCTCAGCATGGCAGCCTTTCAAAGCACTCTTCCTTCATTAACAGCCATCTCCCTACAGCCAACTCAAACCACTCCTGGACTTCCTCCTCACTTGAATGAGCCGTCTGTCAACCTAAGTGGCTGCAGTATTCCTCCAGAGAGGGTCATATTCACTTAGGCTGGAGACATGCAACATACCAGGCAGGTTTCACAAGTCTAAGTTTCTGTTATATAAAAAAATATCTCCGCGAGACAAAGAAATATTCCAGATAAGTGGCAGCAAAGTATGTGCTGCTGGAAATATTTTCTTAACAGAGCACCGAGAGAACATTCTGTACTCTACCAAAATGAATTTGCATTCTGCTGTGGCTAAGTGAGACTTGGGGCCTGTTTGTTTTGGTGGTCACACTGACACTGAAGATCAGCATCCATTTCTGTTAGCCACTTTTGTGGCTCATGGATGGTAAACCCAGCAGGGGTACCACATCAGTCCATGGTAGGCATCAATAAACAACTGTGGTACTCTGCCAGCATGCAGAATTTGCACTCTGTGCAGCCATTCTCAATCTACCAAAATTGATAATGAACAAAATGAAGTTCTCCTATGAATCCTTCACCAGGCTAATTGATTCAAAATGTGTTTATTTGACAAAAATTAAATAAATAAGGCTATTGTTGCAATCAAAATATTCTGCATCAGGGATCTAGAAAAGATCTCAAGACATTTCCTTCTCAATAGACTATACATCTCCTCACCTTCCATTTTTAGCTTTTTCCTCTGAAACTTTATCTCTGCATTGATAATAAGAGGATAAAGGCTGCCGGCACTGCGGCTCACTAGGCTAATCCTCCGCCTAGCGGCGCCGGCACACCGGATTCTAGTCCCTCTCGGGACGCCGGATTCTAGTCCCTGTCGGGACGCCGGATTCTGTCCTGGTTGCCCCTCTTCCAGGCCAGCTCTCTGCTGTGGACAGGGAGTGCAGTGGAGGATGGCCCTAGTGCTTGGGCCCTGCACCCCATGGGAGACCAGGAGAAGCACTTGGCTCCTGCCATCGGATCAGCGCGGTGTGCTGGCCGCAGCGCGCCAGCCGTGGCGGCCATTGGAGGGTGAACCAACAGCAAAGGAAGACCTTTCTCTCTGTCTCTCTCTCTCACTGTCCACTCTGCCTGTCAAAAAAAAAAAAAAAAAAAAAAAAAAAAAAAGGTAAAGGCTGAAATTCAAAGCAGTTTGGAATGCAAGGGAAAAAGTTCTAAGCCAAAATATCTGGTAGCTCTTTCTTCCCACGTGACAGCTCCTCCTCATGCCTTAAACTCTCTATGATAAGTTTACTTAAAAGTTCTTACCATCCTGGAAAAGGTATAAGATCAGCCTGGACATGGGGCAGAAGAGACTGAAGTAAAAGAGATAAGTGAAGGTGATTTCCCTGAGTGTGAATCAAAGGGTGCTCTTATCCTTAAGCCCACACACTCCAGAGCCTGTGTATGTTTAAGTCCAGCTGCACACAGGCACCTCCGTTCAAGGCACAAAGCAACCCCAGGAAGGGAAGTGCTAGGGAGGTGGAGCTGGGGGCCAGGGAAATGAGGGGCGAGAAGAGACTACAGACCTACCTGGAGACTCCTTGGCACTAGGCAAGGCTCTGCCTTCCCTCATCCTTCCCCTCACTGATAATGGACTTGCTAGAAGGAATGTACACAGAGCCATACAGAGGAGAACGGTATAAAAATGACTTTGAAGCTTACCAGCAGACTGCATATTGGCTTAATACCATGAATTTGAAGTATTTATCATCAGAACCTCTGTCACAAAGTGGAGGGGAAGGCTCTGGCCCCATGGTAAACTTTCACACACTTTACTCTTTTGTTCCACATGTATTGTTTTAGATTGCAATTTCTCCAAGAAATGAGCATCAGCTTCTAAAGAATGACAGATACCATACACCAGCACTCTTTTCCAAATGTCCATAGAAGAAAGTCTGGGTCTGCATGGGCCTGGGAAGCCCTGGGATATCACGGATGGTTTTACAGGTTTTATTGTGTTTATTTCATTCATATCTAATGGGATTCCCTCCCTCCAATTTTATCTTTGACCATGAAGACTGAGACCAAGCATGCCTGGTTCACTCCTGGATACCAAGGGCCCACCAAAGAAGTAGCACTCAACCCCTGTATTGGCTGGGTCACTTCTAG